ATCGAGCCCGCCACCCGGGCATGAGCCCTGACTGGGAATCGAACTGTGACCTCCTGGTTTATAGGTCGACACTCAGCCACTGAGCCACGCCAGTTGGGCAGGGAAGCCTTTCTTGATTCTCATGACTAGTTTATAATCCTACCCTTCTCCTTCATAACAGGTGTCACAATTGTAATTCAGTAACTAAGTTACAATAATTTATTTAATGCTTGGTTTCCCCCAAACAGACTGTAAGCTCTAAGAGAGCAAGGCTCTTATGTGTCTTGTCACTTCTCTGTCCCTCATAGTTACCACAGTGACTGGCAGGCAGTGATGCTTAATCAATGATTTTGAATTGGTTTATAAATGAATAAATTGTGTTCTTACAAAATTGTATCCGGGCAGATGTGCATCAGTAAATGGAACACTAGTTTAATTTGCTGCAATTTGAAGGCAGAAAGTAAATGCACACTTAATTAAAATAGTAAAATGCCATTGAATTCTAGTTAAATTCTACTACCTGCTTAGACCTGAACTTGAGGCCTAAGCAATTTGTTACAAAGGAATGGTTAGCAAATGTTAGAAGGGCATTAAAGACTAGTCCTAAGATGAGGCTTTATCCATGATGTAATCAGAGGAGTGGAGGAGAAATGAGGAACTTTCTCATTGTGCAACTCCGTGTTCTTCATTTTGTGTTTGGATACCCCCGGCTTTGGGAAACTGTTCACAAAGGAAGTGGGATGTCTGTGAAGAGTCAAAAGGAAGGAAGAACCAACTCATTTTCTGCTCCAGAACTGGTGGAGAGGTTTTGGTGAGAGGTTCTGACTTGCATTTCTTCCTCTTGATTTTCAATAAAGACAGCAGTCTAGTAAATACAGTTGTATTCCTTCCTCTACAAAAGATTAGAAGGAAGTTCTAAAGTGAATATGAGAGGGGAAAGTAGAAAAGTAAGAATGCATCTTATCATCCTATTAATATTAAAAAATAATTCAGCTGGTCAAACCCAAGTAAAGTCTGTAGTCTGGTTATTGTGCCACTGTCAATTTTCTACTTATAATGTATTATAGTTATACTAGAGGCCCAGTGCACGACATTCGTGCACTGGGGGTGGGGGTGGGGGTGGGGGGTCCCTCAGCTCAGCCTGCACCCTCTCACAGTCCAGGAGCTCTCAGGGGATGTCCCAAAGCCGGCAGTTGGACATCCTTAAAGCTGCCACTGAGGCAAGAGAGGCTTCTGCCACCACTGCTGCGCTCACCAACCATCAGCCTGGCTTCTGGCTGAGAGGCACGCCCGCTGTGGCAGTGCACTGACCACCAGGGGGCAGCTTCTGCATTGAGTGTCTGCGCCCTGGTCTTCAGTGTGCATCATAGCGACCAGTTGT